AAAGAAATTCATATACCAAAATGTTTTATGCAAATTCAAGTGACAGACATCTGCACCAATGGTAGCTGGATCACATAATCCAATCTGTGCATTTAAGTTAGCACCATCCATGTAAACTTGTCCACCATACTTGTGAATTATTTCACAAGCTTGAACCACTCCGTCTTCAAACACACCATATGTCGATGGATATGTAACCATGAATGCCGCAAGTTGGTCTTTATGCGCCTCTGCTTTCATCTCAAGGTCCTTCATATTAAGAACACCATTTTTACATTCAATCTGAACAACAGACATGCCGGCCATCACTGCTGAAGCTGGATTTGTACCATGGGCCGAATCAGGTATGAGACAAACATTTCGCTTGTTATCTCCGCGAGATTTGTGATAAGCATCAATCACGCGAAGTCCAGTATATTCTCCTTGGGCACCTGAATTGGGTTGCAAAGAAACACCATCAAACCCAGTAATCTCGGCAAGATCACGTTCAAGCTCCTAAGGATAAAAATTAAAATATTGCGACAAGAGTTTATAAATCTATTATGCCTATTTGAAACACATTAATGAATTACCTGAATTAATAATTTATATCCTTTGGCTTGATCGGACGGTGCAAATGGATGAATTTCGGAAAATTCGGGCCATGTAACCGGAATCATTTCTGTTGTGGCGTTAAGTTTCATAGTGCAACTGCCTAAAGAGATCATTGAATGGGCTAACGAGAGATCTTTGGATTGTAGGTGATAAATGTATCTCAACATTTCTGTCTCTGAATGATACGAGTTAAACGTGGGATGTTGCATAAATAGTGAGGTACGAATGAATTTATCTGGAATGACAGGCTCATGAACTCTCGAAAAATCGGGCTTGTAACTTGGATCTTTGGCAAAGACTCGAATGAGATTTTTTAAGTCCTCCTCTGTTACAGTCTCGTCTAACGTAACGCCAATGGTGGTCTCATCGACTTTTCGTAGATTGATACAAGCAGATATTGCCTTTTTGTAAATATGTTCGGAATTGTCAACGTGAATATTCAGGGTGTCAAAAAAATGTTCTGTTTTGATCTTATGCCCAAGATGTTTGACCTCCGCCGCTAGAATTTTTGTTAGATCGTGGACGCGACCAGCGATGGCCTTAACACCCTATTAAACGAAAAAATAATTATATAAAAGTGTTGAACGTAACAATCAATATTATTAAAATACTTAATCACACCTCAGGTCCATGATAAACTCCATACATTGCTGCCATGTTTGCCAGCAATGCTTGAGCTGTACATATATTGCTCGTGGCTTTTTCTCTCCTGATATGTTGTTCCCTGGTCTGTAACGATAATCGATATGCCTTATTCCCTAAAGAATCACGCGCTACACCAATTAATCGGCCAGGAATCTTACGCTTGTGATCATCTTTGCAAGCGAAAAAGGCAGCGTGAGGGCCCCCGTACCCTAGCGGAACACCGAAACGTTGACTGTTTCCAACCGCGATATCTGCACCCCATTCGCCAGGGGGAGTAAGCAAAGTGAGTGCCAATAAATCGGTAGCGCAGACCACTTGTCCACCTAAGGAATGAATTTTGCTTGCGAGAGAAGAGTAGTCGTGTATTGAACCATCGGTTGAAGGATACTATTATTATAAACAAAATGAATGACAGATACACATGATCCTAATTGCGGCTCATTAATCGAAAGAATGAGTTACTTGGACTAAAACACCGCATAAATCTTTGCCATTCGATTCAAAATCATATTTTAACGCGTCACCAACGACAATATGAATGCCTAAACATTCTGCACGCGTTTTCAGGCAAGCGATGGTCTGAGGATGACATTTTTCATCTACAAAAAACACGGGTCGTTTTTGTTTTCCAGCCTGAAAGGTCATTATCATAGCCTCCGCAGCCGCCGTTCCTTCATCGAGAAGAGAAGCATTTGCGATTTCCATGCCCGTAATATCGGTGACCATAGTTTGAAAGTTCAGTAATGACTCCAGGCGACCTAGGAAGTTTATTATAACGACATCAACAAGAATTCATAAAAGATGGTTTCCATTGAATTGAAAGACGAACCTTGAGAAATTTCTGGTTGGTATGGAGTATACTGCATGCAAAATACGACGGAAATCGTGCATAATAATAAGTTTCCAAGTTGTTCATTCGTACGGCGAATGGCTCACTACGAACCAATGAAAGTCACTTCTTTTACGTAAAAGTTCTTTCTGGTTACATAGTCCATTTAAAAATGGTAATTCGCTTACTTGTGTATACCATCCGGGAGATTCCAAGATATTTCTTAATATGACTGTTGGCACGATCGTGCCTGTATACCCCATGCCTATATATGATTTGTAAATTTTGTTTTCTGATGCGATGCTTTTTAGCCGTTTTAACAACTCGCTTTCTGTAAGCCCCTTTTCCAAGGAGAGAGGCTTTGTGGAACGAATGCTAGCAGGAATTGTCTTTGATACCAACTCTTCCATGTCTTTAACACCAACGACTTTGAGCATTTCTTTGATTTCAGCCTCAGAAGAACCATTGTGCCTACGCGGAAAAGTGTCTAATGGTGCGATTGCACTATACTTTCGCGAGGTTGAGGAAAAGCAGCGGGGAGATTCTGAATTTGGAGAATTCTTAATCGATGAATGGATCCGTGCCACGTTGACTTTACGCAAAGACAATTTGTTCATTTGCGCCGTGGAGACAATGATTCTTCTTGAAAGGTTCAAAGAAACCCTCGACAACATGGTGTCTTTGCGAAAAAAACGTAAGATTACTAAGCCGAAATATTAAGAATTCTTATGGAACAATCGTTTAAATGGTTTTTAGATAAAAAAAAAATAGATATATTAGACTAATTCGGATGGATTAGACGTTTATATGATATACAACGATGATACATAAAGTTAGTCTTTAATTCTTACGTTTTTACGCGATAAGGTGAAAGTACACCCCCCCATCTAGTTATTTTTTTCACATGTGACACAAAAAATCATTGTTCTGATTTCGGAAAAAAAATTTTTTAAGGTTAGCTAAGACCGGCGAAAATCGGAGGTACGCGTGTTGTGGCCACTGATTTTTTTTTGATCGGATCAATTGATTGCAATTTTTAATACACATGTGTACGTATAACGTCAACTTTTGACCTATCGTCTTCTAATATGAAATATGATATACGTTAGGTTTCAAGCCATCGGCAGACATTTCCTGGGAATTCGTAATAATGGAACGTATAATATATTTCCACAATTAAGGACAACTTCATTTTTATCGGCGCGTCGATCAGACTATACTAACGCCAGTTCTGACGTGAAACCTTTGCAACACCATTCGACTCAACTGGACTTCCCTTTTATTTCTACCTTTAATAAAAATAAGGAGGCTAATAAGAATTTACGCTTGATCTTTGACGATCCAGATGTTTGGACCAATTTTATCTCCCGTTCTCACAAAATAGCTCCATTGGAACGTGATACCTTGTCATCAAAAGAGAAACTCACCGGATTATTTAGAAATCCCGAATTAGCAACACCTCAGGGTTTTCGGACTGCGGCTGAAAAGGTCTTAAGAAGGGCGAAGCTATTAGTACATAGAATCACCAATGCCAAGACCGATGATGAATTAAGAAAAGTGGTAAAAAATTTGGACAGGTTGTCAGATATGCTATGTTCTGTAATTGATACTGCCGAATTTGTAAGGGCCACACATCCCGATCCAAAATTTTCCCAATCAGCTAATTGGGCATACGAGCATCTTTATTCATACATGAATTTTTTGAACACAAATAGAGATCTATGGAAGGTATATTTAATATCCAGTTTTTACTGAGTATGATGGGCGTTGGCACAATACAATCCCCACATCTGTAATTTATTTATATAATTTATTTATTTTTTTTAAATGTACAATCCATTAAATTAGCTCTAAGGTCCTTTATTCGTTATTTATACCTAACGTTTCAGGTGCTAAAACGCGTGATGTCAACACAAAGCATATCTTCACAGTTCTCAGCAGAAGA